AAAAAAAAAGAAAAAAAAAGAAAAAAAAAGAAAATAATAAAAATAGTGTGCGTAGGAGGAACTAAGCACCAAAACGGAATCTAGCGTACGGCAGGACCCTAGGCTCTGCAAAGCAAGGAAATGAAAAACGGGGGGTCTGAGGGTGGGAGCGTGGCTAGGGGAGAGAAGCACATTTTGGCAGAAACACCTCAAAACCGTCAGAAAGGGGCTGGAGGGCTGGGGAACGGTGCCGCCCCTTCCCACGCGGGCCGAGCCGCCCTCCCGTGGAGCGGGGGACACGTGGGGACATGCGGTTAACGAGGAGCCGGTTGAGAGCCCCGTAGCCSTTTTGCTCGTGAGATGAGACCCGTCCCGTAGCCGAGGGCCGGGCACACGCACCGGGCTGGACAAAAMCGTATTTTTTTCCAAAAAACGTCTGAAAATAATAATAATAGTGATAATAAAAAAGCGGCCCTTGCACCCATGGGGTCCCCCTGATCCCCATGTGGGACCAGGATACGAGGTCTCCCCTCCCCCGCCGCACCTTGCAGCCGCCCAGGGCCCCTGGGGGATGCCCAGTCCCTCTCAAAACCCATCTGCGACCACCCCCACTCGCGTCCATGTCCTCGCCGAGGCCACTGAGGAGCCGGGCCACCTGCCTGGGCATGGTAGAACGTGTGACAGGCCAACTGCCTCCTCCCACCCCCTTCCCGCATAGCCAGATTTGGGGAACACTATTTTATCCATTACATTTTATTATCATTATCATTATCATTATCATTATCATTATCATTATCATTATCATTATCATTATCATTGTCATTATTATTATTATTTTCTGGGGAAAGAGCGGCTGCCGGGCTGCGAGGGAGAAGGGGACATGGAGTAGGGGAAAAACCCCTCTGCGGGGCAGAGCTCAACGAGCTCCCGGTTCCCAGCCAAGAACAAAGGAGCGGGGCGTGGGACGGGGACACGGGGAAGGAAAAGTGGGGAGAGTAAAAAAAAAAAAAGTGGAAAGGGGCCCAGCTCGAAGCAGAGGGTCAAGGCACAAGACCACGAGTTCCGCTGCCACCCTCCTCCGGCTGCGCCCTAACGACTTGTCCCTTCGGGGAGCAGACCTGGTGCCGGAGAGGGGAATCAGGCTAGCTCGCCCCCCCAGCACCCCGCTCCTGCCCCCAAACAGCCCCTTCCTCCTCCCCCCGCCCGCTCCGGAGAGGCTCCTCGGAATTCCGCTCTTCCCTAATAAAACGGTTCCTCCGTTCCGCGAGGGGCAGGACCCTGTTCCTGCGTTCTGTTACAACCTGGCCCAACCTAGGCACAAGGGAGCGACCCTGACCCCGTGTCCCCCGCTTTGCTCCCCGCCAAAGTGTGGCCCTGGCCATGGCAGGCTGCTCTCTCCGCTCGCCCTCGTGGCCTTAGCTCTACCCGGGAGGAGAGAGGAGGAATTACGAGAGAAGCCACAGCCCGTGGAGCAAAAAGGAAGGGGAAAAAAAAAGGAGAGAGAGAGAGAGAGAGAGAAATAACGCTGGGCATCGCCTACCTGCCGCCCGGGAGCCGTGCCGCCGCGCAAGCACCGCGCACTGCGGGAGCTGCAGGCATCCCGGCATTTATTGGAGCTGAAACTGGGCGACTGTTGACTTTAGCACAAAGCAAAGATTTCACTGCCCGCTAGTTTAAAAATGAATATTTTACCAAGATATCGATCAGCTTTATAAAATTCAGTTAAGCACAATGGCTCCAAAGGAGGGGGTGGGGGGCAAAGGAAAGGGACGCAATATAATATCTGTGTAAATTTGCTGAAGTATGACGTGGTGTTGAAAGTTTACCCTCCTGGAATTTGGATCTAGATTCGCGCCCCCCCCCCTTTTTTTTTTTTTTTTTTTTTTTTTCTGACTTTGTTTATTCACAGATCACGGTTGCTTAAACCGGCAGGAGCAGAATGCACTTTCAGCGAGGCTGAGGGGCGGGCGAGGGTGCGTTGTGGAGGGATAGCGGGGCCGGGAGGGAGAGACCCCCCCCCCAAAAAAAAAAAAAAAAAAAAAGAGAGAAACGGCAAGGTAGTAAGAGGAAGAAGAAATGGGTGGTGTGGTGTGGTTGCCCCTTTCCCCGCTCCACCAAGTCCTCCCATGCCTGGAATTCGATGTGAATGGGCAGGAAAAAAAATAAATTGATAAAGTAAATGCGGAGTGGGTAGATTCATCTGCGCGCACGCTGGATCTGATGAGCGGGGTGGAAGGCGCTTAAGCCGTTTGAAAGCAGCGCTGCGCGGAGGCGGCTGCTGCGGGACGGCGCAGGTTAGAGCGCGGCAGGCGCGGCGCGCGGTCCCCCCGGCACTGTMACCCCGCGCCCATTCTCCTGCCCCGCGGGAGCCTTTTATGTGCTAATGAAACACATTGGATGCCTCGCTTCACAACGTGTGTGTCCTCGCCGTATAGAGACGGCGTCCTTGTTTTGTTTTGTTTTGTTTTTGGAAGTTTTTTTTCTTCCTCCTCCCCACCCTTTCCTCCCCATTTTTTTTCTCTCTCTCTTTCCGTGAACAATGGCGAATTTTAAGGCGGATTTGAATGTTACTTGGGGAAGCAACATCTATTAGTCCCTTAAATGCGTGGGAACGACAACAAGTGGTTGGGGGAAAGGGCAGAATGTGGATGGCGGGGGTAGAAAAAAATAAATACGTGAAAACAGCACCCGCCGAGG